TCCAAAGAGGAAAACCAAAGCCACCCCAGCTGCTGTGGAGTTGATTCCAACTCCTGGCTCCCTGTGCTACGTCATAAAACCCTCCCAGAGACTTTTCATGGCTGTGACCTTTCAGAAGTAGATTCTCGGGCTTTTCCTCTGCTGCCTCTCTGAGTGACTTTGAACTGCCACCCTTTCTGTGCTTTACATCCCCTTTGGCCAGCTCCTTTAATTCTTCATGCATGCACTCAGTCAGTGAAGATTTATCAATGTCCATCTTGAACACTATATCAGGTGCAGAAGGAGAGTGGTGATCCAGGCCACCTGGTCCCTGTACTCTGGAACTCCATACACTGGGGGTGAAGGTGATGTTTATAAACATTAAACAAGTTATAGGTTTGGATGAGTGCCATGAAGGGAAGAAATTGAACAATGTGCTAGAATGTAATGTGCAGAGACAATCTCCCTTGGCTGGCATGACCAGGGAAGGCCTCACTGAAAACATTTGCTGGACAGGTACAAAATCCATGCCATCTAGTCAGTTCCAACTCATAGAAACCTGTAAGACAGAATAGAACTGGCCCAGAGGGGTCTCCAAGGCTGTAAATATTTTTGGAAGTAGCAACCATTAGCAACCAGTGTGTTCATACTACCAACGTTTTGGTTAGCACCCAAGTACTTTTAACAACTGCCCTGCCAGGGATCTTGGATGGCCATAGTCTAGGGAAATCTGGAGGAGGGACTCACCAGTGCAAAGGCACTGGGGCAGGTGTCACCAATGTGTCCGAGGAACAGAAGGAAATCATAAACTGTGAAACAGGTGATGAAGTCAAAGACACTGGACAGTTGTGGAGGGGCTGGAGCCCCTGTTAAGAGGTTGATCCTTGCTAAGCATGATGGGAAGCCATTAGAGAGTCAAAGCCGCTGAGCCGCTGAGTGAGAAGATCAGCTTGAATGTGGCAAGTAGATTGTAAAAGGACCAGAGAGTGTGGGGAATATCAGTGCAGGGCACGTGAAAGTTCAGAGTTAGATGCAAGGAGACTATTTTAATTGCAGAAAATCCCTTGGTCTCTAGATTCCTGCCCTCCTGTGCCTTCTCTCACCTCCTATACCCTTGTCTCCTGCTAAAATCTAACTCCAGGCAATATTGAGGCTAGACCTCAGCTTCTCTATTCATAAGCCCAGCTGTCTGGCCACCCAGTTGTCTGGCAGAGTCTGGTAGAAGCTAGGGTAAGTTATTTGAACAGTAAGTTTCAAACTGCCCTAAAAAGAAATAAATAAAAGCTGGGGAATCTCGTTGAACAACTTTTATAAGAATTTAAAATATGAACCTGGTAAGAACAGAGCATAGTTCCCTGGGACTTTCTCCCCTCCTTTCCTGCCCCCATGGCTGCCTGTGAAGAACCACAAGGCTCCAGAAAACACAGAAATCCCTGTGGTCTTAGGGTAACCACTGTAGAGAGGGGATCCAAGGCTAGACTAAACAGGAAGGGTTGGAGGACAAGGAGGTCACCAATAGAGTTCATGTTAAGGAATCTCAATTGGCTGTTAGTTGGCATTTTTCTGTTATCAGTTTTTCAATCCTGGAATACAACTCCTTGATCCCAAGAAGACTTGATTAGATGCCAAGCTTCCTCTTCTTCCTAAAGGAAGAAGCACTCTCATAGCCTGAAAGTGGATGTGAAAAGCAGCCTAGGAATTCCACTCCAGGACTGCCTGGTACTGCTGCCCAGGCTGTGCACTATACAACTAACACCAGGAGAGACTCAGGCTAAGAGGTAAATAGTGCCTCTGAAGTTAAAAACACAGCAGCCCTCTAGGTCCTTCCATGTGCTCAATGTGGAGAGACCCTGGAGAAAAAGACCTTAATTTCTTCAGGTCTGCAAAGTCACTTTTTCCTGAACTGTGAGCATCAGGATTGACTTGACAGAACCTGATGAGTTACTGGAAGAGAAGACAGAAAGGCTTAGGGATAAAGGCAGAGAGTTCTTGACAGCCAAGACTCAGAACAGTGCAGAAACAACTCTAAAAAGGAGGGAACCATGCAGTTATCACTAAACCACTTGACTTTGCTGAGGTTCTCAATAAAACCCCTATTGATTACAGTGATCTGGTCATGGGGCTGGCACAGGGCTCGGCAGCCTCTGCATGGGATCTCCATGTGTCAGAGACCACTGCATGCAGTTAACAACAATATGTAACTTGCAGAGTGACAGAGAAGAATAAATAGTAGCAAAGTCCAAGTCACATCTCTTGCTGTCGAATGATTCTGACCCATAAAGACCCTGAAGGACAGAGTAGAACTACCCCACAGTGTTTCTTCCAAGGTTCTGATCTTGATGGAAGCAGATAGTCATATCTTTGTCCCTTGCAGTGGCCGCTGGGTTTGGATCTTTCAGTTAGCAGGTGAGCACCACCAGAGCTGTTCTAATTAGCAAGTCCAAGGGTTGCCATGAATATGAACAGCAACCATAGGTAAATGGTGACTTTCATTATCATCATCCACAAGTCCGAGAATCTGGCCAGATCCTTTCTCTCCAGCTCTCTCTCAAGTCACCACTTCCCCGGCTCCTCCTGCTGCAACTGTCCTGAGCAACTTAACACTGCCCGTGCAAACCACACACTTCCACACCTCTATGCGTTTCTACCAAGAAATTAAAGAGACTTCTTTTTTTTCAGAATGTTTTGCATCAAACTGCACTGTAGGTCACTATATGACTCGTCTTATATTTCTTAAGTTATACAGGAGCTCTGGTGGCCTAATGGATAAGGAGTTGTACTGCCAGCCAAAAGGCAGATGATTCAAATCTACCAGCTGCCCTGAAAAAAAAAAGATGGCCAGTCCCCTGTTTGATATACAACCTCTGAAAACCCCCTGAAGGAAGAGCAGTGAGGGTTAAGTTATACACAGTAAGGCACAGCCTCGTGCCCTAGGATGCTTGGGGGATGCCTCTAATCACTTCACTCAGCATTCTCTTCATGAAAATGGAAAAGGTCCTATAGCAATCACAGTTTGAGCCCTGGCCAGTTTTAATTTATGACTTCCACAAAGCAGCAGTTAAGAAATAAAACAACATATTGCATTGGGGAAATCTACTGCCAAGGACCTTTTGGGGGGGGGGGGAATGCTAAAGAGCAAGGATATCACATTCAGAACTTAGGTGTATCCGACCCAAGCTAAACTATCAGAGATTGCTTCCAGTGTGCATGGCATCATTATGAATCAGCATAAACAATTAACTCATTGAGGGAGGGAGCTTTTCTTACTTGTCTGCTTTTTCTGTGTTTTTTGCCCTCTAGTAACCAGAGAATAGGTCTCTGTGACTATTTATGACTGAATGAATGCCTAAATGACATAATGTACATAAGCCAGCTAGCACAGTATACTATGAGTTGTAGTATAGTTACTGGCATTATTACACTGTTCTGTTACTCACATAGAGGTTGGTTAAGAAAATGAGTGCTGGAGTTTGGCTGGGTTTGGATCCTGGTTCTACTGGTTTCCAGATGGTTAATGAAAGCAAACTAAAATAACCCTCAGTGCCATCAAATCAGAAACACCTCTTGGCTGACACTCCAGCGGGTTTTCCTAGACTGTAAATTGCACAGGAAGAAAGACATGGCCTTGGTTTAACAGCACTACCCTTGCTAACTGTTGTACATTGCCCTCGAGTCAGAACTCATAGCTCACCTTTCAGTGGGTTTTCAGAGGCTTAAATCACACAGAAGAGATTGTCCTTCTTTCTCTCTAGGAGAAACTGATAGATTCGAACCCCCTGCCTTTGGGTTGACATCCCAACTCTTTACCTACTAGGCCACCAGAACTTACTCCCTATGGGCTACGCCATCAGAACTTCTGACACTAAAGCAGGCTGTTTAATAATGTGTCTATTTCTAAAATGATGGGGTCCCTAAGTGACACAAATGATAAAAGGCTTGATGGTTTGGGGAAGAAAAATCTGATGATCTATTTTCAAGAGGTCATAACTATTTGACTCAGCAATTCCACTACTAGGAATATACCCTAAAGAAACCATAGTTGCTACCCAAACAGATATATGCATATCCATGTTTATTGCTGTGCTATTCACAATAGCAAAGAGATGGAAGCATCCAAATGACCATCAACAGATGAATGCATAGAAAAACTATGGTATATTCACACAATAGACTACTACACCGCACTGAAAAACAAGGAACTGATAAAATATTACACAACATGGGTGAACCTGGAGGACATTATGCTGAGTGAAATATCTCAGTCACAAAAGGACAAATACTGCATAACCCTACTGTTAAAAAACAAGACTGACATGAGGGTTAGAGGGAATCTAAGAAAAGAGGAGATAAATAATGATACTGTATTGGAACAAATAAAGGAAAGAACTTTCTATTGTATGACAATAGTCCAGAATAAGAGGTACATTGAAAAGAAGACTTGGGGGAGGGAGGTAATTGTACAACAATGAATTTTTTTAAAAAGTGAACGGGGGCAGGGGAAGGAGAGGCGATAAACTGTGCAGTAATGAATGAATGAAAATCTAAATTTTCTATAAGCTTTCCTTAAAATCACAATTAAAATAAAAAATTATATTTAAAAAAGACATAAAAATGAAAATCTTATGAAATTTTTCTCTGAAACACAGTGAAATCTTCTTGTACTGAGAACTCCAGGGTGTGGAGATGCTCTGAAACACATAGGATTATCATGAATCAGGATTAATTCAGAAGTTAACAACTAATTTTTTTTAACTCTCTGCAGTCTAATTTTCTCTGTAAACATTCACTCAAACTACAATTTTTTAAGTGCTTTAAAATGCATTTCTGAGATGAGGGTCAGAATAGTACAGGCTCATGGCATTATTACAAGGATTAAATGAGTTGATCCATGTCAAGTGTCTGAAATAGCACCTACTTCAGAGGGTTGTTACAAAGATTAGTGCAGATCATCTAGAACAGAGCTCACTTAATACATTGTTCACTTAGTGCCAACATGTTCTCTTATTCATTGTCATCCTCAGATCAAACAGCACCAAGTCAAAAGCAGAGACCCCCAAAACACCCAGCAGCCCCCTGACCCCCACGTTTGCCCCCTCCGTGTGTCTCTTGGCCCCCTGCTATCTCACAGGAGACTCTGTCCGGGACAAATGTGTGGAGATGCTGTCAGCAGCCCTGAAGGCAGATGGTGAGAGGGCCTGGGGCAGGGGAAGTGGCTAGGGGCGGGGCTTCCTAAGGGGAGGGGAGCCTCCAGCTTGCTTTGCTCCGTGGGAGGGATGCAGAAACACTGGAGTTCTCAGTACAAGAAGATTTCACTGTTTGGGTCTGGTTGATGCCTGTGTTTTCTTATTCTCTTTCAGACGATTATAAGGACTATGGGGTCAACTGTGACCAGATGGCATCAGAAATCGAAGATCATATCCTTAAGCTGTTCTGGAACTGTGGTGCTGAGTCTGTCTAGTGCCAAGCCTAAATGCAAGAGACCCAGGGCGGTGAAGGTGGGAGAAAACACTCCCTAGCACCCCCTGAGCTAGTGCTCCCCATCCTGACTTTGTTGTTATGTATTGTTGAGTCAGAACCACTCATAACTGAAGTCCAGCAGGCTTGCAGAGGCAGTAAATCACACAGGAGATCACCCATTCTTCTCCTGGAGCTGGCAGATCACATGCCTTTGGGTTGGCCATGCAATTCCTTACCACTGAGCCATCATTAATAACTAATATGTATAAATTAAGGTTTGCATCTGTCAGCTTCTTGCCAACATTTTTAGGAATAGTACCTCATTTAATGTTCAGACCAACCTCACAAGTTTCCATGATTGATCCCATTTTACAGATGAGGTAACTGAGATTCATAAAGCTTGAGTCACTTATCAAAACTCATACAGCTAATAGTGGCTGAGTTGGGATTTGAACCCAGAAAGTATAATTCTAGAACCCTGGGCTCAGCCACTAAGTATGCCTCCATAAGTCAAATTGTCACCACGTGAATCAGAGAAGGCAGAGAGCCCAGCATTCTCATAATCAGCCCTTCCCTTCTTCTATTCTCTAAGGACAACAGCTCTCATATTTTAGTCTCTATCAAAGGAGCTCTGGTGGTTTGTTGTTGTTAAGTGCCGTCAAGTCAACTATGACCCATAGTATCCCTATGAACAAAAGATTGGAACCCTCTCTTACCTGTGCCCTTCTCACAATCTCTCACATGCCTGAGCTCATTGCTCCAGTCCACTGTGTAAATTCATCTGGTTGAGAGTCTTTCTCTCTTTCACCATCCCTCCAGCTTTCCAAGTATGATGTCCTGCTCCAAAGAATAGCCTCTCAAGGCAACACGCCCACAGTATGGGAGATGAAGTGTCACAATGCTTGCCTCCAAGAAGCACTCTGGCTGCACCTTCTCCAAGAAGGCGGTCCCTGGGATATTGGCACTCTTCAACACACCTCACAGGCAGGCATCAATTCTTCTTCAGTCATCCTTATTTACGTATTTGCATCCAGCCCTCAGATGCAAGTAATTGACAAGAACATGGCCTGAATTGGTCATACCTTAGCCCTCAAATTGACTTCATTGTTTCTCAACAGTTTGGAGTGGTCCTTGACTACAGATTATTCAAGTGCAATACATCTCCTGATTGCTGGTGCTAAGTGTATTGATTGTGGATCCAAGTAAGATGAAGTTTTTGATAGCTTCAATCTTTTCTCGATCTACTACGATGTTGCCTATTGGTGAGAATTTTTGTTTTCCTGACATTGAGATGCAATTCATGTTGAAGGCTTTAGTCTCTGATTTTCTGCAGTTAAGAGCTTTAAGTCCTTATTTTTAGCAATCAGGGTAGTGTTATCTGCATAGGGAAAGTTATTGATAAAAAATTGTGCTGCCAACCCAAGGGCAAGTAGTTTGAATCCTCAAGAAAAAGACAGTCTCCTTCTATGTGATTTACAGTCTCTGAAAAGTCACTAGAGGGTCATCTATAAATCAGTTCTGACTTGACGATACCCAGTAACTATGTGCCAGGCACTGTGGTGGGTGATTAACACTTCCACCTCCATTAATCTTCAGCAATCTCTGTGAAACAGATATTGTTGTTCTCACTGGATAGATGAGAAAACCAAGGCTCAGGAACTAGAGGGTGTCAGAGCTTGACCGGTCTTTGGACCTTGGTAGAAAAATGGAAAAGACTTGCCAAGCCTTGATCTTTGGATTCTGTGTCCTGAGTTCTTTCCTTTATGCCCCACTTCTCCAACTTCTCTGAAAGGGGTTCTGTGTACACAAAGATGGTGACCATCAGAGTGATACGGGCCTACTGGCCCATTGTAACAAAAGGGAAACTTTCTTTTTGTTTGTCTTAGTGAAAATCTTGCCCTTTACTATGATGACTCTACTGAATAAAAGGATAGCATTTCATTTACTGGCAGCAAAACTCTGCATGCCAAAGAGGAGGAAGGAGGAAGTAGGGAGCAGTCCCCAGAGGACAAGACCTCAGTGTCATTCCAAGTGTCATACAAGATGCAAGTGATGCCTTTGACATTGCTGGAGTGGACTAGTGGCCAGAAGAGGGTAGAAAAGTAGGGATCAGCCTGCACACGACAACCTTTCCTCCTCTAATCTCTTCTCTGAGGCTCAGCCTAATATCTTTCAATATATTTTCTGGTAGTTTCCTCCAAAATCCACTACCACTGATTCCAACTCATGGGACAGAGTGGATTTGCCCCATAGAGTCCAAAGCGGTAATCTTTCCTGTGGAGTACCTGATGGGTTTAACTGCCAGTCTTTTGATTAGCAACCAAGCCCTTTAACTAGAGCAGCACCAAAACACCTTAGTATTGCCTGACCATCACTTAATTATTAACCAGCATGGTTTGAGGGAACAATTTCATAATTTCCTCTTCATTCAGGAACACAAAGTATGAGAGATCAAGGCAGTCTTGAGTTTCTTCTGGTTTTATCTGCAACAGTAGTTCCTTTAGCAGGTCCCTTCCACCTTCTGCTTAGTTTGAAACAGAAAGTGGGTGATCCAGTACAAAATTGTACTTCCTCCCTTCCTCCCCATCCTCTTTCTCCACTAAGTGTCCCTCCTCTGAAGGAGAGAGCAGATTTCAGCTGCACCAAGGCCAGTGCAGCAATTTGTTCTTAGATGGTGAGTGGTCTGTGGGGAGAGAACTGTGTGTCCTCTTTGAAGCGATCCTGGTTTATGGTGGCTGGTGGCACATACAAGGAAGCACTGAGGGGTCAGACAGTCCCAGGTCTGCTCCTTATCGTCCTCTCCTGTAGTTCCAGGAAATGGATGAAGAATGAGGAGAAGGCTGGCAAAGACATTGCCAGCCTCACTCACTGTGCCCATTTATCAAACCAATACATACTTCCAGGAATCCTCAATACAAATTTTTTAACACAATTATGAGCTTTCAAAAGTGTTGTGGCACATACCTTTCTTTTCACCTCCTTAATTGAGTTGTAGCAACAACTGAAAAGTGGAAGAAACACTCTCATCTTCTAGGGAGTCAGCTGTTCCTATTTACCCACAATTCTGCAGCCTCTTTCTTGTCTACGGTTTTTCCCAGCAGCAGCTTCGTCTTCCTGATTCGGCTTGGCTCAGGCAATCGAGAGAGTGAGGCTGTGTTCCCCAAGCTCCCAGAGGGTGGAGATGGGTGGAGTGAGTGGGAAGCGAAGAAGCCAGCCTGGCGGTGAAGGAGGCCTGCCTGGAATGCAAGGTGGAGAACGTGATGTGGTCAGTGGCTAGGACTGACTTCCTGCTGAGCTAGTAGAGAGAACATTACCAATAGGAGAGGGTTCTGGCTTCCAGCCCTGCATTGCCAGTAAGTCACCCTGTGACCTTGAGCAAGCCCTCACCCTTTCTAAGTCTCTGCTTCCTCATGTGTTAATGAGGAAAGCAATTCTGACCAGCAATTCCCAAAGTGGGTTCCACAGAACGGTTATGGAGGCATAGGGATAACAGATACGATGGTGGCGGTTCTATGATACACATATTTAGTTAGTAAAAACAATTTCTAACATAGATCTCTTGTAAAAACAGTGTTGTAACTCGAACTTTTAAAAAAGCAGGAGCTTTGGTGGCATAGTGGTAAGGAGTTGTATGCCGACCCAAAGGCACAGAGTTTGAATCCACCACCTGCTCAGCAGAGGAAAGACAAACAATCTTCTCCTGTACAACTTACGGCCTTGAAAACTTTCTGGAGTGTCAACTATGAGTTGGTCCTGACTTGACTGCACATATAACAGCAGTAACAATGCCTGTATTCAGAAACGTCAGATTAATCACGCCTCAACAGAGTTCTATATTGCAATACTTTTGAACATGTGGATGGGCGGAGTGGTGAATTCCCGCTGGAGGCAGCAGCGAGCAGTGTTTCCTAACCTTACCTTTCCCCTAGAACAGACTCTAACACTGGACTCATGACTCCCTGGGACCTTTCCAGGGTAGGGGTCATCTTAATCTTTGTCATCACCCCAGCAACCAACCCTTAATGTTGAGCCTTTTGTGTGTCCCAGGTACCAAGCCAGTGTGTTTTATGGTTTAGCTGGTTGAATCCTCATGACAGCTCTGTAAGAGAAGTGAATCCTATTTTATGAATTTATAGGGGTTCCATAAGGAACTAAGGCACAGAGAGGGCACGTGCCCCACCTGAGGTCATACAAGGGATACCGATACCACGGTCTTCACCATGGGAGCGATTTTTTGTTTCTGATACTTGGCTGACCCCCAGAGCTAGTTGAGGTCTCCCACTCCTCAAGGCAGCGGGCATGAAGGCGCCTGTCCCTACAGAAGTCACAGCAGGGGCAGAGGCAGCGCCGGCATCGGTATAAGGCTCCCCATTCTTTGCTTCCCCCTCCATGAGTGGCTGGCTGGCCCTTGACCATGGCACATATCTATCAGGAGCTCAAGAGCACAGACATGAAGTACCGGAACCGTGTGCGGAGCCGGATCAGCAATCTCAAGGATCCCAGGAACCCAGGCCTGCGACGCAATGTGCTCACTGGCGCCATCTCTGCTGGCCTCATTGCCAAGATGACGGCAGAGGTGAGGGCCCGACCCCTACCCAACCCAGAGGAGCAGAGGCTGGGCTCCCTTACTGTGCCCCAGGATGCATGGCTCGTGACTCAGTGGAGATGAGAAGGGAGGCTTTTCAAGTCATGACCTCGCTGCTTCCCTGCAGCTGCCTCCTCCAGAGCCAGGCCCTTTGTGTGTAGGCTGCCCCCCTCACCCACCCTGGGCTTCCGGAATCTCTGGATACAGAACACAGCTAATGAGTATTAAGCTCTGAATCGAACTTAAGACTTTAAGTGCTTTGTTGTTGTTGTTGTGGGCCATCAAGTCGTAACTGACCCATAGCTGACCCTCTGGCGGGTTTTCAGAGGCAGTTAATGGCACAGGAAGAGACTGCCCATCCTTCTTCAGCAGAGCAGCTGGTGGATTCAAACCACGTACCTTCAGGATTGCAGCGCAGCCTCTTGCCACGAGACCACCTGCGCTCCTTTTAAGTGCATTGCCTAATTTTACTTATTGTATATTTATTATACTAATATGCTCATTTCAGGTGGTATAGTCCATAGGGAGTTGTCCTGGTGACCCAAAGGCCTCTTTCATGGCCCAAATCTATTCAGTGGCTCAAGAGAAGATGGGCACTCTTCTGCAGTGCAATTTATAACCTTGGGAACACAGTATAGGGTCAGCTGTGAGTTAGTTCTGACTTAACAGCAATGAGAGAGAGAGACCCATTTTACAGATGAAGATGCTGAGGTTCTGCCTATGCACACAGGAGGCAAGCCGAGGCTTCACCACTTTGTTATACTGCCTGCCTATCAGTCTTGTTGAGTCCTATCTGTTCTAGGCATAATTCAGAGTAAGAGTACCCATCTCCATGGAGCACCATCCAGACTGGGAAGACAGACATGTTTACAAACAAGTACAAACACAAACATGGTGAGAAGTATGACAGAGCCACAGTAGGAGAGCACAAAAGAGGGACTGAGAGAGCTCGGTCAGTGAAGGTCATACAGAGGAAGAAAAGGAGCCCCTGTTTGAGGGAGTACGTGCAAAGCATAGAAATGTGAGTGTGAATCCTACCTTTGCCATTTATTTATCTGTGTGATCTTGGACAAATTAATAAACCCTTCACTACCCGTCTGTAAAATGGGGATAATAACAGCGCCATCATAATCTCACGAATAATTAATAATATATATGAAGGGGGCTCTGGTGGCCCCGTGGAAGGACCCGCACAGCTAACCAAAGGCTGGAGGTTCACCAGCTGCCCCATGAGAGAAAGATGGACAGTCTCCTTCTGTGTTATTTATAGCTCAGAGAACCCACTGGATGATCAGCTATGAGTCAGTTCTGGCTTAGTGGCAATGGGAAAGAGTATATACGTGAAATGTTTAGAAGGTTAGTATGTATAAAGTTCTGTCCCCAATTAGTGTAACTGGCTCATTCACCAACCATTTGGTATCACTGCAGCACAATGTCATGAAGGAGGAAATATTATCCTCAACCTATTAAAACAGTCATACACAATAAGTAAGTGAGAGAACAAAGACAGGAACCTAGATCTGTTTCAGAGTCCTTATCCTGGAGGCCTTGTGCATATTTTACAACATGGTTAGCTCTTTACTGCCAGAGCTAATAGAAAAGACCCCCTCCCAGAAATGTACACTGAGTTAGAGGGAAGTTTAGAAACTCAAAGTGGCTCAGAGAAAAATAGTGACATGTGTTAGGGTCCTGGAGTCTGTAACTAGGCCATAGAATACCTCGGAACCTTCTGAAACTCTTGGCAGTTTGCCTGAGTGTGTGTGTGCGCGCACGCTTGCTTATGTGCTCAGGAGATCAGGAAATGTATTGGACTAGTCAGGGACCTCTCCAAATTATTGAGAAGCAATGATATCAGTTTAAGAACTAAGGTGCACCTGATTTCTGATTTAGGCCAAGGTCTTTTGGTCACTTACTATGCATCTACGAGAGAAAGATGGGCAACATCCTGTGCGATTAACTGCCTTTGAAAACTTGCTGGAGGGTCAGCTATGAGTCAGTTCCGATTCGATGGTACTCAACAATGACAACACTATATTTCTGAGAGCTGGACAGTGACTAAGGCTGACAGAAAAAGAATTGGTGCCTTTGGACTGTGGTATTGGAAGAGTGCTAAATATCCATCCCATGAATGGCCAAAAGAACAAACAGGTATGTCTTGAAGAAGATGCAACCAGAGTGCTTCTTGGAGGCAAAGATGAAGCTTTGTCTTACATCCTTTGAGCATGTTGCTAGGAGAGGCTATTCCTTGAAGAGGAAAATCATGCCTAGGAAGCTAGAAGGACAGAGAAGAGGAGAATGACCCTCAATGAGGTGGGTTGATATAGTGACTGTGGCATTGGGTTTGATTGTGTCAAAAATTGGGAGGATGGCACAGAATAGGACAGGGTTGAGATCTGTTGTTCATAGGGTCGCTATGAGTCGTACTCTACAACCTAACAACAACAATAGAAGTAGAAAGTCAATAAAAAAAGAGGAAGATCCCAAATGAGACATATTGACACGTTGGCTGTAATAATGAGCTCAAACACAGCAACCATTGTGAGAATGCTGCAGGACCCAGACACATTTCCTTCTGATACGCATATGGTTGCAGTGAGTCAGAAGTGATTGGAGGGCACCCGCCAACGCCCTTCCAGATTAGCATTCCTGGGGAGCGAGATATCTAAATCCTTAAGACTTGGAGTCAGCGGTGTGCTGGCGCTGCCTTCCAGCCCAAGAAAACAGATTCTGTCCCTCTAGTCCCATTCTTCATTCAGTTACATCACATTGTTGTTGTTATCAGGTGCCTTTGAGTCAACAACGACTCCTAGCAACCTTATGAATAACAGATCTGAACCTTGCCCTATCCTGTTGTAAATTGGCCATGGTAAGAGTATTTCTTCCATGTAAATTGGCAAACTCTACTAATTAGGGCTCATTCACAACCACTCCTGTTTCCAAAATCAGTTTACTAGCATGGCACTGTAATTAGAGGCATTACATAAATTGGCATCGAATAAATTTTCAATAGATAAATGCATTTTGCTCTGGAAAAATCTCCCCAAATGAAACTAGCTTGCTTTTTTGTAAAAAAAAAACCCCAAACAAACCTTCATTTGCCTTTGGGTTAACTTGTTTTTCCTATGTATCTCTCTGTAATCCATGCTAGCTATTAAGTTTAAAATAAGCTCAAAACGCATTGGTGTAGATTAAGAACTGACTCATAGCTGACCCTCCACTGGGCAAAGGCTGTAAATCCCATGGGAGGAGATCACTGATATTTCTTCCTCGGAGCTGCTGGTGGATTCGAATCTTTGCATTAACAGCGCAGCTCCTCACAGACTACACCACCAGAGCTTCTTGCATTTAAGATACATTTAGAATTTAAACATTATCATGACTCAGAATAGCTTGGAGACCCTAGGATAAATGCTAATTCCTGAGCTCTGCCTGCAAAGATTCAGACTCCTAGGAATTTGCCTTTTTATCGGGAAGCCCAATTGAGGTTGATACAGATGCTTTGTTCTGTGTGCCAACTCTGTTCTCCAAGGCCTGAGAAATGTGCTCTTGTTGTTGTGTGCACCTAGTTGATTCTAGTCTATAGTGCCTTTTAGGTCGGAGAAAACTGCCCCACAGGCCTTCCAGGGCTGTAGTCTTTATGGGAGCAGATGGGTCTTTTTTTCCTTTCTCCTGCAGAACCACTGATGAATTTGAAATAGGAACCTGTGGTGAGTAGCCTAGTGCTTATATATTATGTCATCTGGGCTTTTCAGGAATGAGAATTGTTGTTGTTGCTACGTGCCCTCAAGTCAGAAATGATTCACAGCTGAGCTTCCAGTGAGTTTTCAGAGGCTCTAAATTGCAGATGGGGAGATTGCCCATCTTTCTCCTGCAGAGCAGCTGGTGGATTCGAACTATGCGCACAGCTCCCTACAATTAAGCCACCCGTGCTCCTGAAGAAATAGAAGTAGTTAACAGGATATTAGAAAAATCATATTTGTTTTAAACTAAAAAATAAATTTCTGCCTATATTCTCTAATGGGAATAATGTGAGAATGTTGTTTGGTTGTGTTTTTTTTTTAAAAAAAAAAAAGTATAGTTAACAGAAACAAAAATATTTCTCTCATTGCCATCATGTCAGAACAACTCAGAACTGGTCTTGCAGCAGGTTTTCTGAGATTGTAAAGTCTCACAGGAGGAGAAAGTACATTTTTCTCCTTTGGAGACATTGGTGGATTTGCATCACCAGAGAGGCTTGGATATTGGGTTAGCAGCACTACTCTATATGGGCCACACGACCAGAATTCCTCTTCAAATATTTGTTGTTGTTGTGGTGGTGGTTAGGTGTGGTGATGTTGACTACAACTCATAGCGACCTTCTGAACAACAGACCTGCACCCCGCCCTGTCCTGTGCCCTCCTCATGATCTCTGTCCTGCTTAAGCCCGTTGTGTAGACACCACGTCAATCCATCTAGCTCATTGATAGTCTTCCTTTCTTTTGTTGACCCTCTACCTTTCCCAGCATGATATCTCTAATCACTGGTTCCTTCCTCCTAAAAGTATGCCCAAAGTAAGAAAGTCAAACTTTCACCATCTTGGTCTCTAAGGTGTTGATTGTGATTGCACTGCCTTCAAGAAATTGTTCTTTTGCCAGTTCATGGTATATTCAATACTTTTTGTCAACACCACAATTCAAAGGCATCAATTCTTCTTCCGTCATCCTTATTAATGGTCAATTTTCAAATGCATAAGAAGCAAATGAAAATACTATGGCTTGCATCGAGCCATCTTAGTCTTTAAAACTAACATTTTACTCTTGTGGACTTTGGAGAGGTCCTTGACAGCAAATTTCTCGAATTCAACCTATCTTTTGGTTTCTTGACTGCTGCTACCATGAATGCAATGTGGACCTGCCCAGCCAGATTAGTTGGCAAAACATGAGACTCAATCTCCAGGACGTAGGGTGTGCTATATATTTGCTATATTTTTTTTCAAATATCTAGGTAGATTCATATGCTTATCTTAATATCAGCTTCAGCCATTCTCCTCCCCCTACTTCTCCAAACCAACTTTTAAGATGAGCTTCTCTAGAAGAAGTTTAAAAGCAAAAAAAAATCCCACCAAATCTACCATAGAGTTGGTTCCAACTCATAATAACAAACTATTGGGTTTCCAAGAATGTAAATCTTTTCAGAAAGACTGCCCATCTTTTTCCTACTAAGCAGCTGGTAGATTTGAACTGCTGACCTTTGGTTAGCAGTCCAATACATTGTGTCCTATGTCACTGAAGTCAAATGCCCAAGGAGATAGAGAAAGAAAAGGTCTAGACAATGGAAGCTTGCAATAGATTGAAGAGGAAACAGAGGACTTTATTCTGCGGCAGGAAATCACGTTCTGGGATGCATTCAAAGTGAGGAGTTGTAAGAAAAAAAAAGTGAGGAGTTGTGTGAGCCCAGGAGCTTCATGATCCAGTGGGGTCAAGGTAATTGCAACAAGTCAGGAAGAGCTGAGACCAAAGTTCCCATGGCGGAGAATCGACTGGCAGTGGTCAGAGCTCAGACAGGCTCTGGATCAGGTCTTGACTGTAAGTAAATAAGGGGAACATCATAGATCCAGACAAAAACCCTCCCACTGGGCTGATAGGCAACATCATGATAGATGGTGAAAAGATTGAAATTGTCAACAATTTCATCTTGCTTGGATCTACAATCAACATTCTTGGTAACAGTAATCAATAAAGCAAAAGGCATATCACATTGTGAAAGTCTACTCTCGGGGACCTATCTAAAGTTGTTGTTATTGTTGTTAGGTGCCATCGAGTCATAGACGACTCATAGCGACCCTATGAATGAAAGACCTGAGCACTGGTCATAGCGTTTTCAGAGGCGAGCCATTTTGAAAGTGAATGCCACTCCTGCTTCCAAGCTTGTTTTAATTGGGAAGCTCCACCAAACACTGTCCACCATGGGTAACCATTATCGCATTTGACACATCAGTGTCATAGTGTTTAGCATCACAGCAACCAAGAGTTACCTCTGTACAGCAATGCACAGACCATCTCTATACCACTTAGAAGAACTGGGCTTAAGTGTGTCAGAGATGGTGAGGATGACACAGAATGGGACAGGGTTCCAATCTGTGGTTCACACGGTTGCTATGAATCATACTCAACTCGACAGCACCTAACAACAGCAGCGATCAAGTGGGCAGTGGTGAAGAAGCTCAAGCAGGGAGGACCAGGCAGGTGGCTAAGGTCCTGGCAGGCAGGGTGAACACCAGGTTGTAGGGATGTGCTCAGGTGTGCTTATCCTCAGGCAGAGACTGCGCACCTGCTGCATTCCTGTGTGTATCCTACTGTGCATGGCCCAACTAGAGCCCCCAGCATTGACCATCCACCAAGGGGTCAAGTGGAGACTACAGATAGGGCCTTACCCACTAGGGACAGGACCAGGGCTCCAGGCCTCTCCTCAGCTCCTCTTATACTTCTTCCAGTGTGTACCCTCCCCCTCTGTCAGGCTGTCTGAAAACCAGGTGTGCCACGAGGTGTCTGTCTCTGAAGGGCAGAATCATTTCTCCACAGGAAATGGCCAGCGATGAGTTGAGGGAACTGAGGAACGCCATGACCCAGGAGGCCATCCGTGAACACCAGATGGCCAAGACCGGTGGCACCACCACTGACCTCTTCCAGTGCAGCAAGTGTAAGAAGAAGAACTGCACCTATAACCAGGTACACATATGGGGTGAGGGAGGGGCATGACCGTAGGGAGGAGGCCTGTCAAAAACCACAGGGACTTAAACCTAAGAATCAGGGAGGCGGTCAAGGAAGAGCCATATGGGGAGAAAGGGCTACCGTGCCCCAGACTGCAGAGAGTTGTGCAAGCCTTTATACTCCAACATGATACACTTGTGGCTTCTAAAAAATAGTCAGGGGTATAGAATCACTCAGATATACAACTATGAGCTGTGGCCTGCGTGTTTTGGTCTGCCCTGTGTTGAGACTAAGGGAAGCCAGACTCAGGGACCTCACAACTTCTCTGGAGTCACACATTGTCACAAGGGAATGTAGCAATATGAAACCCAGCTCCTTCATTTTTCACCCAGTGAATCCAAGACCCAAACAGAGGGCAGGCTTTGCAGCCTTGACCCAAGATAGCATGGCCAGTCAGTGGTAAAGGTGATCATAGCTCACGCCTTTGGACTCTTAGATCCAGACTTTGCACCAACAGTACAGCTAATGGCAATAAAGTCTGAGGGATTTAACCCTGAGTCCCAAGGGTGAGGACCATGGCCCTGGCATGGAGCTACGGAAGCCTGTGGAGACCTTCCTCTCTGAAGGATTTAAACCTAGGCAACCGCTTCCTCCTTCAGGGTTGCACATGTTATGACCTTGCTGTTGTTACTGTGTGAGACTCATAGCTGATCCTCCAGCCTGTTTTCAGAGGCAGTTAAGTAGCACAGAAGGAGATTGCCCATCTTCTTGCAGAGCAGCTTAGTGGATTCAAGCCGTGTGCCTTTGGGATTGCAGTGCCCTGTCTTATCTTTAGGCCACTGTGCACCAATATTCTTGGATTCTAGGGAATGTCTAGTAATTCCAGAACACTGTTCTGTTTAGTAACTATTCTATAGCTACAGCATCAATATAGATCACCCTCACTATTTAGGGAGAGCCCTCAAAGAATTTTCACACTCAAGAATCTGACGCTGGATGTGTGTACTCTTGCTTTCTCTCAAGTATATCTCCATGTGGAGTCATGTGCTTCCTGGGCCTCACCTCCCTTAGGAAGTAAATTACCCATTAGCAAAAATGTCTCTCTTAGAAAGAAACCCCACTATCACCTTTTCTCAGGGGTTGCTGCTCTACAGCAACAAGACTTTGCTGAGTGGTGTCCTCTGGGCAGGCTCATGAGCTGGGGACACTCCCAAAAGGCAGGCTTCCAGCTAGTGGCATCATAGCTGAGTGTCAGCAAAGTGTTCATGTGTTACAGCCATCTAGGGTGGACTGTAGAGAATCTAAACAGGGCTGGGGGTGTCAGGAGTCTGCTTTGGGAAGCTGAATTTCTGCACCTCAAAGGGCTAGAATATGGTTGAGGGGATAAGGAATTAAAAAGAGAACGTTCAGCAGCCTCAAGGATCTTCATGTCCCATTGTTCTCTGGGCCCACGCTCTTCCACTCGTGAAATAGTGAAGAGGAGCCAAGTGGTCTAAAGATGTCCCCAGCTAGTTTGAGCTCGGACCAGTAAGGCCTGTCCAATGGAGTGTGGTCAGGGGTGAGAGGGGGAGAATACTTTCTGCAGGAGATGAGCCTGGAAGTCCAAGAAGAGACATCACTCAGCAGTGATGTCACTAGGGCTGGTGTCACCCACTGTGGTGACTTATGGTGTGATCACCTCACCCCATTGATTTCCTCTCATACCAAACCATACAGACTCCTTGGTAATGGTTTTTATCAAATTAAAAAATTTTTTTTCTTTATTGCACATTTTCTTCCCTCCACCCCTCCCCTTAGCCCTCTCTGCAATGCACCCCTTGTTCCAGACTGTTGTCATACATATAACACCTAATCATATACTCCTTTTGGACTGTTCTTTCCCTCATCTGATCTAATGCAATGTTCATTATCTGTCCACTATTTTCCCATTCTCTCCCCGAGCCCCCATGTCTGTCCTATTTTATAACAGCATTTTTTATCAACTTTAATCAATACATTATATAGTTGAAAACTGTTGAAATGTAATCCTGAGATTTTATGAACACTAACAACAAAATTGTTTTGTAAAATCTTTCAACACTACATTAAAACATGATTAGTGATAGCAAAGCAGAAGCCTTTTTATTTTTTTCTTTTTGTTTAATTTCTACTTCATTCTTAAAAGGTGGTGCTTCACAAATACTGATTACTACCGTACAGTAGTTAAAACACCAGAAAGTTTGGCGAAATCAGCATCTATAAGAATATCTATGGCCTCAAAAGGGAGCTCTAGTGTGGCCTAGTGGGCAAGGAGTTATACTATCAACACAAAGGCAGGTAGTTCGAATTCACCAGCTGTTAGATGTGCACTCTCTTCCCATGTGATTTACAGCCTCTGAAAATCTGGAGAATCAGCCATGAGTCAGTTCTGATTTGATAGCACATAAGAACAACACACCAACAAACACAGCAGTACATGCCTGCAGTATGAGCAGTTGGAGCCGGGTGACTCAAAGCATTGTTGCGATTGTGTAAGAATGATAGCTCAGGCCAGAGGGTATCTCTCAAACACATTGATTTAGAATGATAGTTCATGTAACAATGAATGAATGGAAATCCAAATCTCTGTAATTGTTTATTAAAATTAATAAAATAATTTTTTTTAAAAAAAGATAGCTCAGCTCAGACCAGACTGAACTTCTCAAATCATTTCCATGGAGTCAGAATTGACCCACCCACTGGATTTTCAAGGCTGTAAATTACATGAGAGGAGATTGCCTGCCCGTTTTTTTCTCAGTGAGCTCACCAATATAAATTTGAACCACCAAAGATAGCATGATCTTTGGGTTAATAATGCAACTCCATATAGACTAAATCACCAGGACTCCCTAAGAGTGTAATAATTAGAAGGTTCAAAAATTGATTAACACCCAGTGTTAGCCTCGTAGGTATTTTTATGCATGTAAGCTGGGCTTTTATTCTTTTTTTCTTTAATAACTAGCTACAGGGCTTTTTAAATATAAAAAAAAATACATTTCTGCCAAAGCACTGCACAGAAAAATCTGTTAACAGTCATTTTGGTGTCACCTGCCTTTGACAGTGTCATCTGTTACAGTCTGCACCTCCTCCTTCCTCCAGTGACGCCACTGCGGTTCAGGAGGATCAATGCAGATGACCGCACAGAGGTCAAAGTGGAGCCCGTGAGAGGCTGGGGTGAGCTGATTGAGAGAGGAAAGGAAAGCACACATTCAGGGCTTCGCAGTGATAAGAGACTGGCGACGGTGGAGTGGGAATAATATATGAAGTTTTGGGATTTGGACCTGTTCCCATGGACAGTGAGAGTCATGGCAAGTCCTAAAGTGAATGAGTGGCTTTGTGAGCTGTCCTCTCTTTTCTCTTTCTCTCTCCCTTAGGTGCAGACACGCAGTGCTGATGAGCCAATGACGACCTTTGTCTTATGCAATGAATGTGGCAATCGCTGGAAGGTTTGTATATCTGTTTCTTTCTCTCTCCTCTGCCATCCACAGGCATTGCCCCCACCATCAAGTAGATTTTGACTCATAGTGGCTCTGTAGGACAAAGGAAAAACTGCCCCATAGGCTTTTGTAGGCTGCAGTCTTTATGAGAGCACACTATCAGGTCTTTATTCCCGCAGCTACCAGCTAAGAGCTTAACTACTGCATCACTAGGGCTCTTTCTACTGCCTACATAAGGGATACATATACCTGCTGCCCAGAAGGATCCTCATGGAGGACAGGCTTGCCGTGTTAGGCGAGAGCAGCAGATTGTTAGTGGAAAGGAGGGGAGAGAGGACTTGAGCACATTTTCATTTCTAAGAGGCACCCAGCTGGGGTGGGGGCAGCAGCCCACACTTTGTCACAGGATGGGTAAGGCTACCATTTAAGCACAGATGGAATCAGCCTCCCAGCTCCTGGAGTGGGGAGAAAACAATAGCATTCTGCTTTGGGACCACACCTCTTTGCAAAGTGTTTTCACAGATGTGTTTCCTATAAACCTGGCCCCAGACTGGGATGAAAGACATGGAGGGGCTGAGCCAGATCAGAGGTCATCCTTCCCTTCTAAGGCAGCTCTTATAAAAGCCTTATAATACTCATGACTATAACCCAGGCCACTTCAGCTCCTGCAAAGGTGGAGACTTCCTTTGCAGGCGAGGGAGCTGAGCAAAGACTCCTACTGGCGTGCTCCCGCCCTCCCCCCTCCAAAATCATGCCAGAGCTTCTGAAAGAAACAAGTGTGGTTATGTGACTCATGTCAGTTTCCAGAAGCATCTGACTTGCATGTATTTTGTGTGATATCTGGGCCTCCAGGTAAGCTGCAAGTGCTCCAGACATTCTAAGCGTTTAACCTCTCTGAGCCATTTCCTTCGCTGTGAAAATGAGAGTAACACTAGTGTCTACCTTGGGGTGATTGTGAAGATGTTAATACTGCCTGAATCAAGAAAAGCCTCACAGCTCCTGTGCTTGTTCTGACTCTGAAAAAAGGCATTCTGCATGCTCTCAACCCAGCTCTTCCTCCCTGATTCCTAGTAGAGAGAGAGGCAGGAAATGTTAGCTCTAGCTACACAGTCTGGCATTTTTAGGTAGTACCCATAGCTGTGTGGCAAGCCCAAAGTCTAACCATATGATTAGTAATAATCACTGTGATACTCTTGACCATAAATTGCCCATCATTGCCTAGCATTGGACTTCCACTCGCTATCTCATATCATTCTTGTTTTAGATGGTATATAATCTGCACTTTACAGATACATGATTTGCCTAAAGTCATGCGGTTAACAGCAGCAAAGTGGGAATTTAGACACTGGCCAGTCTGGTTCCACACCCCTCCTTCTTTTTCATGTTCTCTCACAGCCTCCTTACAGAACACAGGGAAACTTCTCAGATTTGTTGGCTTTTTGGTTTTGCAGTTCTGCTAATGGATGGACCCACCAACCATGATTCTAGTGGACAGCGTTGAGGAAGAACAAAGAGGAAGCACTAAACCATATGAACTAGACAAACAATAAAAAGGAAAATGACGAAAAATGATGAAAGCTGAATGAGGTATAATCGAGATCACAGAGGGGAATTCTTTTGCAAATTAGTAACCAGTCATTCCTAATTGACTCACAGGGGAGTTTAATGGGGTAAAGATGCTAAGAGTTCTGTGTGGACAGACACTTTGAAGAAACCAGAGACTTCAAACCTCACAGCTTGAGTTGTCAGATCTGTGACAGTGCGAAGGCAGTCCTTTCCTTTAGCCTTTTCTGAATGGAAAATATATCAGGTGGATACAATATTCCTTTCCCACCTCAGAGCTCAACAGGCAGAGCATGGCTTGCTCAGGCAGATAGAACCTCCACATCACATAGAAATATTTCTTCCCTGTTCCTTCATCTCTTCTCAAACTTTCTGCTGTTCTCTGCCCAGAGCTGGCTTTGGGGGCATCTGAGGGCTCCAGGCCTGGTTTCTCTAGGCAGGGAGCAAGTCCTCTGAGCTCAGGCTTTCCGAGTGAAGAGTATAGTAGTGCCCTGCCTACCACAGCCCTTTAGAGCCTGTCCAGGTCCTGTCATTGTGTTCTTCACAGCTCCTTCTGTGGCCTGAGCTTCAAAGGAACTCTGTAGAGAGACATATGGAACCCTTTCCCCAGTGGAGTGCTTCCCCCATGGTGACGTTAGCTTTAAGCTGTTAAGAACTTCAGGCAAAGGTTGAACTTACAGAAAAGCCTTGGGAGTGAATGGTCTGATGGGCCTGTCTGAGAGATCAGATTTGAGTTTCTGGCTGTCTCTGCATATCCTCAGGCTGAGCCTCTAAGGATTCTGCTTCCTAAATTGACTGAAGTGCAGGAGTCTGTGAACTCTTAGGGCTCCTTTGTGCAGAGGCCACTGGGATTCTGTTGTTTGGGGTTCACCCTTAGGGGCAGAGCTGCTGGGGTGACCATCACCCAGTTTCTTTTATATCTTGGGCCACCTTCACGCTGGAATTCATTGTTCCTCCCCTCCTTTCTTTTTTCTTTTACTTTTTAAAAAAAATATTGTGAAAAACATGTATGGGGATGCAAGGGGTAAAGGTTGGGAGCAGAAGAGTGAGCATGGACAGGGATGAAATCACAGGGCTGCACAATTTGGTGGGTGGGGGGAGTAGGTGAAGGAAATGAGAAAGATCTAGCGAAGACCAGCAAAGATAGGGTAAGTATAGTCCAATGGTGATTTTTTTTTAACAAAGAAATTGTCTTACTCACTTGTGGGTTTCTCATTTGGGAATGGGGTGCAGACTCTTTGGCTTCTTCATGCTGAACAGGGGCATTGATGTGAAAGGGAAAGGGGGAACCTCCTTTCACGTGCTAAGTGCCTCCCAACCTGGGCCCCAGATGAAGCCTGTAAATTGTATACAGAAACTTGCCAAAAGCTTTGGAAGGCTTGAAAAACCCTCTCACAGAACATCCAACACACCTAGCTCATAAACGGCAGGGCCAGGACAGAAAGCTAGGGCTTCAACTTCTTTTCGTTGTATTCAACGTTTCAAGAGTTCCAGAGTTAAAGGGAGTTGGCTGCCAACCAGAAGGTGCCACCTCTCTGATAAGGGCTTCAATCTACCATCAGCTTTGGAGGAGAAAAAAGGACAATCCCCTCCTGTGTTGTTTACACTCTCTGAAAACTCCCTGGCCGGTCCTTGCATGACTGACTCAGCTCAGCACTGCCTGAGACTCAGGCTCACCCCCACTCCTACCCCGTGAGCAATTCACAGCCTGGCAGGGAAAGAGGCAGGCCAGACTCCACCGAGGAAGTGATAAATGCCACATTTGAAGTGCAAATATTATCCCCAGTAGGACAGAGGGAGGTTAGATACCCGCTTCTCTTAATCTTTAATGTGGGTGGTAATCCCCCACTGGGGATCTTGTTGAAATGCAGATTCCAATTCTGTGGGATAGGGAAGGGGCCTGAGATTTTTCATGTTGCTTATTGGGCCACTGTGAGTCGTACTGGACCTAACAAAACAAGAATACCAGGGTAATGGGTGATGTGGATCCTGCTGGCCCACAGAACACAGTAGCAAGAGATTTAGAATTCAGATTTTCCTCTGCATTATCTAATCCTCTGTCCACATGGCCAGAACCACAAACAAAACAAAACAGCATCTACTGTCAATGTAGTAATGTCAATTAAGGTTACTTTGAGGTGAGGTTTGTTTGTTTTCCTTAAAAAAAAAAAAAGATGGTGCTCTGGGGCAATTTTCAGTAGTCACGGTCTAATTGTATGTTCCAGGTGTCCTAGGTATTCAGAACATGGAAGGAGAAAAGAAAGTGGAATCTCTGCCCTCAATAACTTCACTGTTTACAAAAGGAATGAGTCAGATTAAATTGTAAAAAGAGCAAGTCAGCTCAAGTGCACCCATCTATACAGCACACATCTACATGGACAAAAGGATTCAGAAAAGCAAGAATAGGTCACAGCTTGTGTGTATCAGCAGACACCAGTACCCTCCAACTGCTCTCCCTGTGTCTGTTCTGGACTAACTCCAATTCAGGCTTTCCAACAGTGATCGACCTGGATAGGCTATTCAAAACTGCAAACCTGGTCATGTTACAGCCACCTCCCCTGTCCCACTTAAAACTCTGGGTTTTTTCCCATGGCTCTTGGCTTCTGTCCCACCCCCTCATTCAGTCATGCAGCCACAGGAGCCCTCCAAACATGCTGTGCTCTCTGCCACAGAGCCTTTGGCTGGAGCACTTGGTTTAACCCCAGTTCCCTCTTCATGCCAGTGACAGAAAGGGAATGAGATGCATCATTGTTAGAACCAGCTTGTACCCCAAGGCAGGAAGACTTCTTAGTGAGAAGAGATTGTCACCTAATGATAGAGATCAATTCAGGTGAAAAGAAGAAGAGAAGTAGCATTCTAAAAATGGAGAAGGCCAGGAATGTTATGCCAAAAAGACCTTAAAAACATAAGTACATTCAAGTTCCTATGACTAATTTAAATGTTTTCCAAAGATTCCCTCTTCCTGCCCCCGTTTGCCATTGAGACTGTTTTAGTATATAGTATCCATACACAGAACTTTGGAAGCAGGAGTGGCATCCACTTCCTAAACAACCTGCTTCTGGAAACTCTATGAACTTTGATAAATGGTGATAATTATAGAAAGGCTTCAGGCCTTTTATTCATAGGGTCGCCATGAGTCGTGCTCTACTCAGTGGCAATCAACAACAACAACATACAAAGGACCAAGTAGAACTGCCCCAAATGCTTTCCAAGGCAGTTGTCTTTAATGAAAGCAAACTACCATATGTTTTTCCTGGAAGGTTCAAACACATGACCTTTTATATAACAACCAAGCACAACCATTGCACCACCAAGACTCCTTTCCAAACATTGCAGGAGCCTATTATATGCCTTATCCAGACTATCCCATCTCTATCTTTAGACCTGATTTTCCTTGGGTCAAGACATATATGGCCAAGAACTCCACGGGCCCTCTAAATACAATTAATCTGAAACAGAACTACCATCTTCTGTTTCTTAATCCCCCTCACCTGTCCTTTCTGTTTCTGCCAACTAACTCATTCTTTAGAGCCGTCTTTGACCCTTCTCCCAGCCCCACTTCACTTTATCTGTGAACAGTTCGACAGTCTCTCTTTCAGGCAGCCCTCTTCTTCAACACTGTCTTCTAGGCTTCCTTCCCCATTTTCCCTTCCATGTACTGGAGCAAAGTCCTGCCTTTACTGTTCTCCCAACTCAAATACACACATTTCCTTACCTGCATCTGCACGGTATAACTCTGCCCAAATAATTTTCTAAATCATGTTCAGTGAAGTTCCATCAGGTATCAAATGAAATCCAAACTCTGATTTGACTTTCAGAGAGGTTCTCTCTACTGTCTTGAATGACTTATCTCTCACTACTGCAGCCCCTTATGTTTAAGGTAAAGGGAACTATTCTTTGATTACAGGGTAGGCTTTCCCACTTACAACTGTTCTGTTTCCTTCTCTTCAACTGTTCTCTACCCCATCAAAGTCTTATCTATTCTTCAAGGATTACCTGGGATAAATGTCTTCTATGAAGTCTTCTCTGCCAACAAAAAATGTTTCCACAGAACTCCTACAGCACTGATTCCTACAGAATACATGACTCTGATGATTCAGTATTTCTTTGTCTAACACTGTCATTTGTTAAATAGTGTCAGGTTGACTCTGAGTCATAGCAAACCTATGAGCAACAAATTGAAACCTTGCTGTATCCTGAACCAACAGTGTCAATAATAATTATTGGGCACTTACAAGCTGGGTAGCTTGGGTACATTACAAAACTTCTCCAGATTGCTTCTCTTATGTGATAGGATGGTAATCATAGCATCTTTCCAAAGGAAATGCTTTCTAAATGCATTCATATAAGGAAGGTACTTAGAATCATGTCTGATACACAATGACAGCCATGTATAAGGGATTATACTACATTGATTGTCTAACCTTTGACCCTATGAACTAGTTAGTATTCTACCCTTTTGACAGATCGAGAAAAATAAACAGAGATTTAATTTGCTTTTAGGAGACAGAATCTAGATTTTAACTCAAGTCCCTTGTCATGTTTTTAGCCCCTTTGAAATATGCTGCATCTCATAGAATATCTGTGATGTACTTTATTTCTTCCTATATTAATGATGGAGCTCTGGTAGTCTAGTGGTAAGAAACTGTGCTGCAATCCAAAAGGGACATGGTTTGAATCTACTGGTTTCTCCGTGGGAAAAGGATGGACAATCTCCTCTCATGGGATTTACTGCCTCTGAAAACTCTGAAGGGCCAGCTATGGGTCAGTTGTAACTCAAAGGCACACAAGAACAATAACAAACTAATCATCTGAAGACTAAATGAGTTGTGAGATGACATCAAGGATATCATCCATGAAGAAAGTAAAAGGTCATTACAAAGACTGAGAAGAAAGAAAAG